CACTGTGAACAGTATTATTTTAAAAAAATAAATGCGAAAACAATAAAGACAATCAATCATTGCCAAAAAGTCAAAAAAAAAATTTTTTTAAAATGAGAAAAGGGGGGGGGGGGAAGGGGGAGCATAGAATGTACACTAGAATGGACAACCAGGCTGAGCTAGCGGTTTAAGCTGGACAGGGCCGCGCAAAAACTGAAACCCCATTGTACCCCATCTTGCCGTACTATACCGTACCCTACCCTACCCTACCCTACCCTACCCTACCCTACCCTACCCTACTATGTTGTACCTTTGGTTTATGCCAACCGAGGAAAAATTGAAACCCCATCCTACCCTGCCCTACTATGCTCTACCCTAACCTACCTTCTCCTACCCTATTCTGTCTTGCCCTACCTAGCCATGCCTTATTCTTTCCTACGTTTCCTTTTTTTTTCTAAAGTACCTCGCCCAATTCTATCTTGTCTTACTCTAACCCACTCTAACCTATCTTAGCCTAACCTGCACAGTTTTATCTGCCTTATCCTTCCATACCCTCAAATATGCATCAATTATATCAATAAGTAAATGCGTAGTTATCTGCACCTTCCCCGTCACGTTTTTAATCTTTTTAACCATTTATTCTAGCTTAGAAACTTAAAAATTCAATTTGGATATCATCGACCAAACTTCAAGACCTAAACCAAAAATAGTCCTGAAAACAGTTAGCGCATTTCATAGAGTCCTGGAAAACAAAGTAAGCGAATATTCCCTCCCCAAGTAGATCCTCAAAAGTACTGTTTACGGCTCTATTTCGACGCGTAATTTGACATTACCAATGGACTTCAAAAGTACAAAAATAGAATTTCACAGTAAACACAACAGCCGTCATCCAAACCAATCTCAGTGATCCTGGAAAACAAACTTTTGGAACCTAGATGCCATGAGCCGTATTTTACTATAATTTTCAAAAATTTTGAAAAAAATTTAAAAACATGCTAAAAAATGAAAAAATTTTAAGTATGGGTATATAAAAAGACAAAAAAAAAGCTCGTTTTTATGCCATTTTAAAGGTTTTATAGTACTAAGCTAGTCTAAAATAACAAAAATTTTGTATTCAATTTGAAGCAGGTGAGATTATTTAATTTTAACTTTGAAAAACATAATAAAAAAGCCATAGTAAATTGAAAAAAAAGTATTATTTCAACAATTTTTTATAGATCGTAATCTCATTATTTTGCCCCACCCCAAAAAAAAGAATGAAAATGGTGCCATAGCCCAGCCTGTTTCTTTACAGTTTCTTCCTTTCCCCCTTCCACAAGGCTACTCTAACTTATTCTACCCTACCCTAACCTACCCCCTCCCCCCCACACCCTCTCCCTCCTACACCCCCTGTCCCACTCCTTTCCCTCCCCTTCAAATGCCTTCTTTTCTGCTTGCATAAACCTAAAATAGCCCCTACAACTTAATACCAAAATATTGCTCCTGCCAACCCCAATACCATTAAATTACTCCAGTTAATGTATTCAACAGTAATAACTGAAAGTAAAAAGAAAAAAAGCTGATATCGCAAACATGCATATACTTGGGAACATACTATGTTCATAGCACAACATTAATTCTCACATATTTTATGTTTCGGCCCAAACATGTTGATTACACTTCCGGCGGGAATTGGCCAATAAATAATTAGAGACGAAAGTGTAATTTACAACCCAGACATATACTATGTATGTGTATATACTATGCATGTAATTTATAAAGTAAGCGAGGTTTGAAAAGATGAGAGGTTAGAGTAGGTCTTTTTAAAAAGCTGGGCCGGGCTTATTTTTTTTGGCCCGGGTCTGACTTTTTTGAATTTGCTTCAGCCTTGCCCGGCCCTGCCCAGTCCCATTTCAAGCTGTACCTAGTGGGGCCACTTTCAGTTATAAGTTATAGTAAAATACGCCATACGCTGCTTTGGTGCTATAAATAAAAAAAGTAAATGTTAACATAAACTTTTTGCCATGGTACTTACTTCAAAAACAAAAAAAAATTTAAATCATAAAAAAGTTTTAAAAAATGAAAAAAATGCAAAAACTCAACTTTTTTGTTTTGTAAAAACGTGTTATTGTGTTAGAACGTGTTGTCTCGCCATTAACAGATTTGATTTACTTTTTGGAAAACGTCCAATACTGTTCACAACAAACAACAAAACACGTTGAAATGTAGCGTTGTGTAGCAATATAGAAAATTCATACAGATTCAATAAATATTTGTTTAATTTACGTAAAAGTTGTAGGTTTTTATAAAGGTAATGACCTAAGGCCTATTGCCAAAAAAGTAATTTGACTAAGCAAGCGTAAATGCAACGTACCTTATTAGACATTCTGCCCTGCTCTGTCCTTTCCTGTCCTGTCTAGCCTTGTCTTGTTTTGCATTGCATTGCATTGGATTGCCTTGCCTTGCCTTGCCTTGCCTTGCCTTGCCTTGCCTTGCCTTGCCTTGCCTTGCCTTGCCTTGCCTTGCCTTGCCTTGCCTTGCCTTGCCTTGCCTTGCCTTGCCTTGCCTTGCCTTGCCTTGCCTTTTTCTTGCCCTGCTTTGTTCTACTCTGTCCTGCCTTCCCCTGTTCTGTTCTGCGCCGCACCCCCTTCTCTAACATTGTCTTACTTAGCCACTCGAGAAAATTTTGTTCAAGGTAATAATAACATTTAAAAAAAACGTTAGTTTGATAAAATACGACGTAACAAGGACAGTCGTCCACAAAATAATAAAAATATAATGCAATATATTAGGTGCCGACACATAAAGAACCCGTCATACTTTTTTTGTAATTTCCTGTAAAAAATGGCAGATTCTTTATGTCGACACCAAACATTATAAAATATGAAATAATACAGAAGCGCTTATGTTGAAATTTAAAATCACCACCAATTTTAGCTCGAACAAACACAATAACTATAAAAGATGCTTTGTAGTTAATATTTCCCAACATCATACTCCCTATCATATCTCAACTATATATAAATCTACGAATCCACTCAACATCTCTTCAGAAGTAAAAGTTAAGTTAGAATCTTTCTGGCAAAAACTGAAGCCTTTTCGAGCAAATCTGTGTATTCAAAGTGTTAAATTATATTCGAGTAGCAAAAACAAAATTTGCAACTTGATGCTACGAAAAGATGATATTATAGACGGATGACTTGTAAATAACACTAAGTATTGTTAGAAAAATGTCAAATTATGCAAATTACTATTAGAAATGTTTAGGAAATATGGTTTTTAGTGTATCTCCAAGCCTCCCTATGAAGAGGGGAGAATTTAGAAACAAAAAAAAATTTCTTTGCAAAATTTAAATTTTTTAAAATTAATTGTAAATGTAAACCTAACAACGAAAAAACTCAAAATTAAACCCTCCCTCACCTCCACCCGTCCCTCTTTATCTTCAAGTAACCCTCCCCCTTCCTCTCCCTCCCATAAACGTTATGAGACTACTTTTCCAGACAGTTCAAAAATTGCACGTTAGCTTCGGCTAATGCCATTTCTAGCCAAATCAGTAACTCCGACAACGCTAATCAAGTTTATGGCCATATTCATTACGACAGGACTCCATTTCCGGATTAAACATAAATGAATGTATATTATGATATCTTTTTGTGTGGTATGTTGCTGGATGATGGCTGGATTTGCGTCAAACTTGTTTCCTTTAATTGGTTATACGTATTTTGTCATAGCGTATTGAAAAATATTATTTTAGGTAATAATTACAAGAAAAGTACCCAACCTGCTCCCCTCACAATAGACTCAAAGTTTTTATATAAATTTTTTAAACTACCAGTAGTACAGTTAAAAAATTTTAGCTCCTGCTTTTGAGTTTTAAAACTTAAATAATTGAGTTTTCCGCGAATTCAGCAAATTTGGCATTCTGTTTCAATCAGTTTTTTTTCAACTTTCCAGACAAGCTACGCTTAAAAATTTAAAAACGTAAGTCTATTTAAAAGTTTTTTACTAGTAAATTAAAGAAAAAAAATAAAAAGTCAAAAAATGATAAAGTTATAAGCTTGAAACACAATGCCAATTTAGCGGGAAATTCAAAAAGTAAGTTTTTGATCTCGTTTTTCTCGAGATTTACTGGTAAGCGCGATTTAGTACTTCGCTGAAGATCTTATATTTAGATGATATTTTAATATAAAGGGTTTGAAGTCAACCAGGGCGAGGCAGGTTGGGCACTTTCTTGTAAGCTATAATAGAAATCATCAATAATACTTTGCTAAAGATCTTATATATACATGATCAGTAAGTCCCAATCGAAATAAACAAAAAAAGTATTAAAAACTTTCAAAAATGCACAGTACAAGCTCTAGAAATTTTATGCAAAGTTCAATGCAAGTGGTATTTAAAGCGATTTTATTGCAAACGTTGTAGGTGATGCTTGTTTTTGTTGTTTTTGGATTTTCCAGAAAAAAAACATCTTTTATTTACCGGTAAACTTGTTTTCGAACAACCTAGTTTCTATTTGTTTATACTTTATATTTGGCAATAATCTTTGTTAAAGTGCTTTGATAAGGATAATTCAAAGAAAAAGCCTCTTGTTCTGAAATTAATAAAAAAAGAGCTTTTAAAAATGTTTTACGTTTAAGCGCAATTACATTTTTTTTTTATGTTTAGACATTCGAATTCTTTTTGAATACACCACACGACGGGAACATTCGTATTTTACCTACAATCTTCAATTTAAACTTTGCAAACCTTTGTCAATCTTTCCCAACAACAATCAGCTCGATGTGAACAAGAGAGCAGAGATTAACTCAATTTTTAAAGCCGTCTTTACGTTTGGAAATGATGTTTACGGTATTGGAAAAGCAAAAAAGAACGTTTAAAGATTATCGGAACGTTCTAAAAACAACTGACGAAACATCACGGTAAATACAAACAACAACAATATAAAAGCGGTTGAGGAGCGGGCATTCCAAGCAGTATACAAAAGTGTATATTGAGCTAAAGCTTTTGAGATATCGATTTTGTGAAGTTCAAAGAAATTGAAAATGGGTGCCGAAAAATGTCCCGTAGATAGCTTCCAAGTGGTCCACGATGTAAAACAAGGCCTCCACTTCTTTGATGGCCGACGACAAAACATCGACCAGAGCGATTCTTGTGGAGAATTCGAGGTTTTCAAACCATCCACTGGTAAGTTGACATCTCATTGAATCAAATGTAAAAGGTACCAAACGTGAATAAGATGCCGACTTTGAGTCAAGTCTTCTCTTTCCTTTCTGATTTTTGAGCCAACTCTCCTTTTATCTAATTTTACAGATATTTTTGCCGGTTCACTACGCTTTTTGCTGGTTTATACAAAAGAAGCGAATAGATTTACAAAACTAGCAATAATATTATTTTAGGAGAAGTTTTATGCAAGTGTTTCTCGGCCAACAAGGAATTTGTGAACAAAATCGTGGAGAAAGCCCACAAAGCCCAGCTGGAATGGGCAAAACTGATTCCGTTGGAAAGAGGAAAGGTCCTGCAAAGAGCGTCAGAGATCATTAATGTAGGTTTTTGATTTTTAAAGATTGTTTACTCTCTTTTAATGTTTTTGAAAGAGTTTAAATGTTTAAAAACTTTTTTGTAAAGAGGGAAAAGTAAGGATAATATTGCTTTTGAAGAAAGGTTCAGAAATGGATGTTTAAAGTTGAATATTTTTAAAATTTAAGGCTAAACTAGGTTTTAGTATATTAGAAAAGATTTTAAAAGAATTATATTACCTAATTTTAATCATTTCAGGACCACATTGAAGAGTTGGCCAAAGCTGAAACTACTGGTAATGGAAAAACCCTGAAGGAATCTGCAGCCGACGTTACTGGTGCAGGAACAACTTTCCAATTCTATGGTGGAATAGCTCCAGCTACATTGAAAGGAGACTACTTTGACCTCCAAAACGGCTACATTTCCTACACAAGATACGAACCATTTGGAGTAGTTGGCTGTATTGGAGCTTGGAATTATCCGTTTGACATTACATGTCGCAAAACAGCACCAGCATTGGCTGCTGGTAATGCTGTCATCTACAAGCCATCACCTTGGGCTACAAATACTGCAGTGATTCTGGGAGAGATACTGAAAGCAGCTGGATTGCCTGATGGATTATATAATGTACTACAAGGTGAGACCGAAACTGGTGAAGCATTGTGTTTGAACCCATTGGTACGACGTGTCACATTCACTGGTTCAGTTGGTGGCGGGTGTGCGGTCCAAAAGTCTTGCGCTTCGAATGGAATCAAGCCAGTTACCGCGGAACTTGGAGGCAAATCACCTTATATTGTATTCGAGGATTCTTGCCCAGATCAAGCGACAGATGCTGCGATCAGGGCGAATTTCATGACTCAAGGGCAATGTTGTACCAATGCGACTAGAGTGTTTGTTCACGAGAGTATCATGGACAAGTTCCAAGAGGTTTTGCTGAAGAAGTTGGAGAAGATGAAGGTCGGAGATCCATTCGACGAAAATACGAAAGTCGGTGCTGTAATTTGCGGTGATCACTTGGAAAGAGTTGAAGGATTTGTTGAGAGAGCTGTTAAGGAGGTAATTATTAATTTTTTAAGGAGGTAACATTGACATTTTTTAAAAGGTTTTTGAATATTTTTGGGCTAGAAGATGATGGTTAATTTAGCTTAAAGAGATACAATGTAAAGCTAGATTTTTCTGAATATTGAAGTTTTCGCATTTTATATATATGGTATTACAGGGAGCCAAGCTTCTTCGCGGAGGTAAACGCCTTCACCCAGAAGGCTTCGAGAACGGTTTCTATTTTGACCCTGCTGTTATGGTTAATGTCAAGGATGATATGGAGATCACCAAAGATGAAGTGTTTGGATCAGTCATGTTGTTATTGCCTTTCAAAACCGAAGAAGAAGTTATCCAACGTGCCAACGATACAAGCTACGGTTTAGCTGCCGGTCTTCACACCAATTCTCTTCAACGTGCTCATCGTGTAGCACGTCAACTAGAAGCTGGTAATGTATTTATAAATTCCTTCAATATGCAGCAACCATTTGTGCCATTCGGAGGCTACAAGAACTCTGGCTACGGGAAGGAGAATTCAGAAGAGTGTTTGAGGGAATTCGCTCAGATCAAGTCAGTTTATCTTAATGTAGAGGGAGAGATTCCACACATCTTGAACTAATTTGGATGACTCAATGGTAACATGTCATGACAGAATGTATATAAGTTTAACAGATGAATAAGTACATCAATATAAACGTTGATGTAGTGTAATATAATGTTATTTTTATCTTTGGACAATATTTTTGTTGTAAATTTGTATTTCGTTGCAAATAAAGCCTAGATAAGTAAGTTGATTGGAAATGAAATGGACACAAATTGTCATTTGCTAACGTCTATCTTGTCGGTTACTATCTAATTGAATAACAAAAGATTGTTAAACTGTAATGTACTTAACTTGTCTATGTTATAAGTAGATTTATATGTAGTACGTGTAACGATAATGTATTAGTAGTATTGTAACAAACATAAGGTACGCTGTGAAACATGTAGAAAACTGTTAAAGTAGAAGTACGTGACATAACTGTATTCAAATACGTATACAATGTGTAACATAGGCTACGATACATAGTATCTTATTTCTATAAGTCATAGGCTACATTAAACAAAGAGCTTTATTTATTTTTGACCTTGATGAACATAAATTAACTAATATAAAGATTTTGAATGCTATTATTTTGGGAAAAACTTAATAATGTTACAATGGCATGGGTTATAAGTGTAATGTATCAGTAGTATCATGCTTATTCCAAGGAAAGTTCTCGATTTTCTCCGCTTTCATTAACTTCAAACGTTTTTAGAAAAGAACCAAAACTCGTTTTCCAGGAAATCTAGAGAAATTCATGACCATAATTTTTTGAATTTTCCGCTAAATTGGCATAGTGCTTCAAGCGTACAACTTTGTCGTTTTTTGAATTTCAATCGTTTTTTTGATACATTAGGAAAACCTTTAAATGAGCCTACACTTTTAAATTTGTAAGCGTAGCTTGTCTGGAAGCTCGAAAAAAGGGCTTGAAACACAATGCCAAATTGGCCAAATTGATGGGAAACTCAAATATTTAAAATTAAAACTCAAACGCGCGAGATAAACTTTTTTATGGGTACTATTGGCGGTACAAGGAATTTAAATAAAAATTGCGAGCTGATTTTGAGTGGCGCATGTTTGATATTATATGTACTTTCCTTGTAAGGATGTAAGATTTTCAAATCAAAATTTAAGTTTCTTTAATCAATATTTACAATAATTTAAAAATTACTTAAAAAATGCTGTTTTGCTATGTGAACTCGTAGTCAGTTGTACTTTGGTAACATGATTAGATGCAGGTACGAAGCAATTTCTTTGTCGCCACATGGCAATTAATTGGGATCGATATGGTTTAATTATTATTATGGTAGAGGCAGAGTTAAAGCACGGGAGCCATGACATACAACCAAAAATTACTGCATCTATTGCAGCTTCAGTATTGGTTAAAATACACACACATATGAGGGTAACTGGGCCTACTGAAGCTGCTAGTTGGACTAGGCTCTGAAAAATGGTATTGTACTGAATATACTGTATAGTCGGGTTATTTTTAGTACTATTTAGTATTATATTTGTATTATACAAGTTTTGATATAAAAACTTACTTGGACAATGATGACTTTAGAAAGTTGACTCTGCATACTCATTGTTCGTTCATTTTTAAATCGAAGATTATTTTTGAGCAAATTTAACGTTTTCTGATTAAAAAAGCTTGATCCAGCGTAGGCCATTATGAATGCTGATAAAATTGTCGTAAATAACACCTGGTTGTACACGTTTTTCTAAATTTTTTAATTTAAAAAATTAGTTTAAGAACTAAAAAATATGTTACAATTAGATCTCAAAAAGAACCCACAGGGTCCGGCTTTGAAGTCACTTTGAATCCGGGCCGGCACTTGTGGGCCTAAAAGCCAGAGTCTAACGCAAGGCCTAGCCCGTGGGTCAGGCCAAAAAATTGGACACGGCCGAGCCTTGAAGGTCCAGTCACAACTTTTTATAAGAAAAAAACCAAGCTACATATACATTTTGTATATCAAAGTAAAATACGTTAAATCTTACATTTTCAATGTACAATAAAACTGTACCACTTGATGGAAAACAGCTTTTGTTGACTTCGCTAAATCGCACGCTTTTTCCATTATGAAACGCTGTGCCAGTTGACAAAGCGATAGCAAGGACTATGATATTGGCTGTTAAGTAGGACCATATCCAGTGGACTGTTTTGGAGTTTAATTGGCTATAAAAAGTAATTTTTAAAGTTTACTTTTAATTTTAAAATTATTTTAAAAATTTAATTTTAAAGACTCTTAAACATGAGATACCTTTTGAGAGCAGTGTACCTGTAATGGCAATTGAAAAAAACCATAGCTACATTCATTGGGATAGCATAAGCGTATAGTATTATTATCAGTATTTTTGGCGTAGTACCCTGGATTATTGGATTCATATCGAGCAAAAGTTTTCCGTCAACCAAGTTGGTACTCTTAAAATAATTTTTACAAAAAAATCATTTTTTAATGTAAAAAACTTGGCTACTATTTTGAGCTGATGGTTAGCGAGGTAGGTTGGGAACTTTTCTTTGTAATAAAAAAATTAATAAACTTTTTAAAAACCTACAATTCTAGCAAAAGAACAAACAATAGCAACCAATAAGTCGTGTCCACTATATAGCAATAACATCGTTTGATAATTTTTCAAAACTCTTTGATTTGTCATCAAGATCAGAACTATCAAAAATAAGTTGATAGGAATACCCAGTAACGTAGTGAAGTTGTAAGAAACATTGTTGAACTGAATTAGATACGAACACAACGACATGCCAACCTTTTTTTATTGCTTTATAGTCAATTACTCTTAGAAAAATAATAGTAGTTAGCCGGTAGTATTATAATAAAATATTTTCATACACCTTGGTGTAAAAAAGTTACATGTAATGAAACGTCTGATATATTAAGAAATGTACATGCACTATGAGTATGTTACACTCATCTTATTCAGCATAAAGTAACAAACATGAGACATTTTTAAAAACCTGTAGTCATAATTACGAAGAATCGAATACATTTTTGATTCTAACAAATACATGTTCATCACAAGATATTTTTTAAAACTACAATACAGTAAAACTTCTTTAGTATAACCTTCGATAGTATGACACCCTGATTATAGTGGCACTTTGGTTCAGTCTCTTGAGTGTTTCACTAAAGAGGTTTGACTGCATTATAATTTATTGTACATTAAATAACAATACAGACTTTCGATTACAAAACTATTTTCATTATTTTATAAGTTCATAAGTCATAATGTCAAGATGTAACTACTGATATAAGCTTATCATTGTAATCAAGTAGTTAAATCTTCTATGAATGTTACGTTACGAACATGTTGTGACAAAATATAACGCAAAACACGACACAGGGCTATCAAAACCAGGCGACAGAAAGCGGAGACAGGGAGGATTTCTGTTGTCAAAAGTAGGGGATAGCCTTTGTTGCCGGACCTAAAGCAGTCAGGGCAGGACACAACGCATATTTTTAAAATTTGTTAAAGCTTTGGGAAAGCATGGCCTAGCCTGGAAGATATAATAGCAAACAGCTCTTGGTGATGTGACACTCTTTATAATGACAGCTTTTTGACCGTTTTTGTTTTATTATGTTTTATTATATTAAGTTAAGTATATTTACATACTATCAATTTTTTTTCAAAAAACAGATTAAAAACAATGACAAATCAAAACCGATCATGCCTCAAAGTATAAGTAGGATTTTCATGGCTGAACTTGATAGAATTATTGAAAGCCAATGGTACACTTCTCCTCCACATGTATTTGATATGTTGTCGATAAGGCTTGATGACAAGTATAGTTAAAATTGAATTCAAAGGTGATATCCAAGCAATTAAACCAAAAAGTAATATATCAGCTGACCCGACGTTTAGTTTGAAGATAATTGAAATACAAGTGGCAATAATTGGTCCTACTGATGTTATGGCTGGCATAAAGCCCTGAAATACGTTTTTTTTTATTATTTTGCAATTTTAATTATAAAAAAATAAAAAAATTTTTAATTTTTAAAAATTTTTATTTGAAACTAATAAATATGACATTGCAAGCTCTTTTCTCGACTTTCAAGATAAGCTAAATATTAAAATGTAGATCCATTTAAAGGTTTTCCACTAATATACCAAAGACAAATGATCAAAAGTAAAAAAATGACAAAGTTTAAGCTTGAAACAGAATGCCAAGTTAACAAGAAATTCGAAACGTCAGTTTTTGATTGCAATTTTCTCGAGATTTACTGGCGATTTACTACTTTGCTGAAGACCTTATATTTACATTATCTTTCGATAAAAAAGTTTGAATTCAAGCAGGGTGAAGCAGATCAGGCACTTTCTTTGTTAGTACTTTTCTGAAGGTCTTTATATGTACTTTCTATAAACAAAGTTTGGAGTCAATCAGAGCGTCGTAGGTCAAGCAGTTTTCAATTTTTTTTTGCGTTTTAACTTTTTATATAGTAGTTAATAACAAACAACAATATAATTATTAAGTTTAAAACGAAAATCAACTTTTTGAACTTGTTTTTTAGTTTTATATTGTAGCTTCCGTGTATTAACCATAATTTATGTTAATTTATGTTCAGTTATGAGTACAAACTAACCTGTAGCAACAATAGTCGTGTTACTTGTTTTTGCATTGATTTGGTTTTTGGATTTTGTATCTCATGGTGTTTTAGCAACAACAATGTCTTTCGGAAGTAATACAAAGCGAACCCGTAGACCAAGGCTATGGTAATGACATAGACGGCCATTAGACACATTGCTAGTTGAAAGTTCTGAAAATGAGCATAACATAACGGTGTATGTCTCGTTGGTACGTATTTGTTGTTGTCTTTACAAAAGTAAATTTTAAATTTCAATCTTTATATGGTACAGTTAGACTTGAAAAGGGACACACAAAGCGGATGTATAAACGTACCGTTTCACAAAAAGCGACCATAGAGTTCTTTGAAGTAATGTTGAGTAACTTGGTACTGTTTATTGCTGCAGTATGTGAAACTACCTCTTCTTGACTAGCTTTTCCAAACACATAGTTGCTGAGAAGGACTAGTATTATGGCTGTGACATTGGCGATTAAATAAGGCATTAGCCATAGCTTTTTGATTATTAAACCGTGGCTGAAAATACGACGTTTAAAACTAAAAAGAAAGCCCGTTTGGCCCGGGTACATTAGAATCCAACGTTCCAAATCCAAATTAAGACCTTATAAACCCTCCGGCAAAATCGGGCCCAGATTATCCTCTTTACAGAGATAGTAGATGAGTTTAAGAAAAATTAGGATTAACTTACTTATTCACAATAGAGTATCGGTAAAAACAATTGACCAGTAACATGAATATCACCATGAATATGCTATAAACGTAGCACAACATCATTTGAAATTCAATGTCATGTTCAGCAACAAACGAGCTCGTATTCAATATTAGTGAGTTTTCAGTACGGTCACCTGACTGAAAATTTAAGTCATAATAATTTTTGATTTAAAATTTCAAAGCTTGAAATTAAAAAAAATTAAAAGTTTGGTCTAAAATTTAACTTACAAAACGACAAATCGAAGATACGACGCTGTGTAGAGTGTCATGAAGACAATATAGAAACAATATTTCTCTGTAATTTTTAAGGACTGTTTTGTTAGTGAATATAATCAAATATAGTAAGAAGGCACTGATAATAGGTCCAATAACACTTGTGATATTGTAACTCAAGTCAATAAAACACAGCCAAAAGGCGGCAAACTCCATTATAATATGTCAAAACTTAATGTAAATTATAATACAGTATGTTGGTAGTGTGAGCAGCTAAAGGCAAATTTTGTAGAGTGAAGTAAGTTAGGGTAAGGTGTAAATTTGCAAGAAAAACATAGGTAAGTAAATGTACAACGTGCTTTTTATAATGTATACGTACAAACGCCAAATATGTAGGTTCAGAAGCGTAAACCTAAAAACAAGTTTGCTATAACACTAACCTTCAAAACGCCAAATTTCAAAATGAAAATTGTAATTAGAGCAAAATATGCTTTAATTATGTTAATATTAATGACGACACTCAAAAAGAACTCATGTCTACGGTTAATATTGTAGCTACAGTCATTTCGCGTCACGATACTTGAAAGTTCATCTACAATGTCTTGATTAACAGTTTTTTCGGTAGTAATAAAAGTTCAAAGGACTCTGATATTGCGGTTTATATTGGGCATAAAGCACAGTCTCAACTCATGTCTGGGCACTAGGGGTGTAGGGGAAGGAGATTTGGAGAGGTGTGAGGAAGAAGACAAGGTGTATGGACAAGGGGGAGGGGAGAGAGGGTGAAGAGGATTTCTTGCAAGAAAAAAAATCTTAAACACTAAAAATTTGTAGGTATCCCATCCCTCCTCTGTTGACGTTCAAAATAAAGATTTAAAAAATTCCCTTAGGTTTGAACTAAAATAAAAATTTTTCGACTTGCCTCTTCAGACCACAATAGCCTATCAAGCCTAGTCTTTCTTTATGTTAGCGATGACATTAAATATTGTTGTTGGACTGCTAAGTAAGAACATCTAAAGAATATAGTACAATCTTAAAAAAGTTAGCATAAGGTACAAATTAGTGAGAAACGCTTTTTTAACGTCAAAGTTATGGTGTAAAAATTATTTGTACAGTACATACAGTATGGGAACGAATTTAATCCTACTGTGACCTACGTTTTAACTTTTTGTAAAGGAAGGCCAACATAAGGTGAAAGTTAAAATTTTTCTGAGGATTGTCCTGTAGCTTGAAAAACCTTTAGTGTTTTGCAAACTCGGCCCGACTTTATGGTAATAAAAACAATAAAACAGAAATAGGAAGAAATTAAAACATGCCGGTCCTAAAAGTTAGGACACAGTTCAAAAAGTAAGCTGAAGCACAAATATTAAAAAAAAATTTTTTTACATTTCCCTGAGTAAAAGTAAGCCCAAACCAGGCCTAAACGTTGGACCTTGGGTTTGGAACTGGACCTTAAAAATTGGGGCCTTGAACAGCCCGTTTTAAATGCTTAGTCTGACTTTATTTTTAATCTTATCCTTATAAGGCGTCACACCCTGCTCTGTGACTAATGTTCTGAACATGACCTATGCTGTGACATAAAGACGTTGACAAAGCCTACAAATATAGTAACCTACGTTACAATCAAACCTGGAAAAAATGTGAAAAAACATAACCAGAATAAGAAAATGAAAAACTTGTAAGTAATTCATCAACGAGAAAAACATATTTTTACACTTTATCAGAAATGTTTCCTAAATAAAAGTATTGAATAAACAAAAAACAGCACTTGTACCCTATAACAATAATATATGGGTAAGATTATGTATAATTAAATACTCAAAAAATAATTATTGTAAACAGAACTTTAAAGAACATCTTGCTTAACATACAGGAAGAACAGACATAAGGGAAGTTGTTATAGCTATTTAGTCAATTATAAGAACTTGGATAAACGATTCTTTTGCTAAGATTCAACATCCTTAAAAGTACAATGTTGACAAAGCGTTTTAAAAAGCAAGTTGAATGCACTTTTTTATAGGAAACTATTATGTATAAGATAAAACACTGTCAATAACAGTAAGCATGATAGTTGGAGTAGTGAAGTCATCAAGCTCAACTTAATTTTTTAGACCAACCGCTTTTGATTTCGCTTTGGCTTGGCCCGGACTATTATATTTAGAAAACTTATCAAATACTCTCTCGGACAACTTGAATTGTATTGAAGCTGCTAAAATCAAATTTGTTTTACATTTTTCGCAACTCAAGTTGAGCCTTGGTTTGAGCCCTTACCTCTTTGAGCTTAAACGTACTGGCCCAAGCTTTTTTAAGATTGATTCAGCTCTTCCTAGAAAGCTCTCTTTCAAGTCTCTGAAACCCTGATCCGCCATCCCAACCAGACTCCCTTCAAATTTGCTTCGACCTAGCCCAAATCAACCCCCGGCCGAGCTTAATGGCCCACTTTTTAAATTTAATGCTAATACAAAAACTGTCATAATTTAATCAAATTAAAAAATTATGTTTGAAGTGTTGTTTTTTTAGTTAGTTTTTTAGTCTCAAAACAACAAAAACAAATGATGCATATTGTAGAAACTTATGAAGTCACTACAAGCTTCAAAATGACGCGCTGTGCAGTATATAGGTTACAATAAATTAACTTGTCATTTTTTGTATCATTAGTCCGCTCAATAGCCGCTTCTTTAGTTTGAAACAATATCATGACTAACCCAACCTTTATCACAGTTTTCATGACATTTTTATATTAACCATTTATTGACAAGATTATTATAAACTACAAAAAACAAATAAAAAACAAATTAAAACAAATAAAATAATACAATATGATAATACATTTGAGCACGACATCGATTCTCTGTCGATCAGAAATACAAAACTTTGTAAAATCGGGAACGGCGACTCTTAAACAGCAACAATTAATCGTTTCGGTAATAGGCTAGACTGACTTGGATTTGGTCCCGGTCGGTGCGTTGATACGAACTTGGTCCAGGCTGTTGGCGCAGTCTAGGCGGCGCTTGTGGGGGTGGTGGGGCACGTTGGCTGGGTACGGAGGCTTCTGATGCTGGAGCGGAAGAGAAGCGGTCACTAAAAGTAAGTGGAGGTAGGCAAACTGGGGTAGGGTAGGGTAGGGTAGGGTAGGGTAGGGTAGGGTAGGGGTGGGGTGAGGTAGGGCAGGGTATGGTAGGGTAGGGTAGGGTAGGGTAGGGTAGGGCAGGGTAGGGTAGGGTAGGGTAGGGTAGGGTAGGGTAGGGTAGGGTAGGGTAGGGTAGGGTAGGGTAGGGTAGGGTAGGGTAGGGTAGGGTAGGGTAGGGTAGGGTATAAAAAGCAGTTTTCGGTATCTGTAAAGAAAGTTTTTGCTTTTGTAAAGTCTTACGCATCTCTTTCCCAAGGTCTAAAACCACTAGCTGTCTCCGGCATCTTCTTCTGAGCCTCATGAATAGTAGGTAACGGTCCATTTTCCTTCTTTTCCTCAAAGACACTTCTATAAAATGGCACTGGTCGATCAGTTTCAAACAATTTCCTTAAATTCTCAGGTTCTCCAGCAGGTGATGACACAGGTGGTGGAGGTGGCTCATGACTAGGGGGTGGGGATGGTGCTCTGGTGCGTTTAAATGAGTCTTCGGCATTCAAATCCATAAATTTTTCGTCCACTTGGCGGTGCTCGAAATCGCGACGAATGTCGCTAAAGAAGCTTGGCTGGCGAGCTGGGTCGTTGGGTTCTACTGGCTTACTGTAGACTGGGTTTGGGGGTGGGAATGGAGGGATTGTAGTTTGACGCCATGATAAGGTTTGAGGTTCTATTAGGGATTTGGTGGAGTCGGACTAAAGTTTGTTTTTAAGAGTTTAACATTAAAAATAATTTTAAAAATGAAAATTGGGCTTAAATTTTTGAAAGCTAGGCTTAAAAGTAAAAAATTAATTTTTTATGTAAAATACGGTATTTAGAACCACGAAGGCTAAAATCTTACTTAAGCAGCTGAGAAATATAGTTTAATAAAGCAAGTTTATTATTGATACGCAAAGAGATATGCACCATAATGAAAAAAAATGATAAAAATATTGAAAAAAGCTCTGGCATTTGGTTAAAAAAAGTAAAATCTTTGATTTTAAAGGTTCTTTTTAAAATTTGACTTTAAGTTCTAAGCTAAACATAAAAATATAAATCAGATATATGTACATAAGTATATACAGTAACAAAGCAATACAGATTCTTTTTCAAAATCTAGATTTTTAAAACTGAAGCTAGCAATGAAACAGCAAAAAAAAGCTTTCAAAGAAACTACCCAAACTGCCCCCCTATTTGGCCGTTTAAGTTTTAAAATTTAAATATTTTTGTTTCCTGCCAATTTGGCAAATTTGGCATTGTGTTTCAAGCACCTGTTTTGACTTCCCAATTTAAAAATCTATACCTATTAAAAGGTATTCTACTAGTAGATCAAAGAAAACTTCCTAAAAGTCAAAAAATGACAAAGCTATAAGCTTGAAACACAATGCCAATTTGGCGGGAAATTCAAAACGTAATTTTTGATCTTGTTTTTCTCAAGGTTGGCTGGAAAACACAATTTAAAACTTTTCTGAATCTTATATTTACATGATCAAGGGTCGGGCACTCTCCTTGTAAGCTAGAAATTATAAGTAGCTCATGCAAAAATTAAAAATTGTAAAATAAGTATTTGCATAAGACTAAAAAGGTTTTAAAAATCAGCGATAGTTCGAATTATAAGCCGTTCCATTATAAGCATGGCGATCATATTCAGATAGATGTGGCCCATAAGCAGTAGCAAACGGCTGAACGTTTTGAATCGCTGTAACTGGAGTTGAACTAACTTTTTGAGGTTTCGAGATTGGGATGTCTTCATTTAGACCATGAATACCAATAAACAGTTTATAGACCCAGGATCCAATTATAGCACCAATGATAGGACCAACTATGGGGATCCAGAAGTAGTAGTTGTTGGCTGTGAACAGTTCCCAGCCATAGCCAACGCAGAGGAGGAAGAGGCGTGGGCCGAGGTCTCTGAAGGGAAATTTTTCAATTTTTTTTTAATTTTAAAAATTAAAAAATTTTTTAAAAAATTAAAAAAAAACCAAATTCTCAAATTTCAAAAAAAGAAAAATTTTAAAAAATTCAAAAAATCAAAAGTTCAAATTTCAAAAAAAAAAGTTTTTCAATTTTTTACCTTGCTGGATTAATAGCAAAGCCCCCATTAGTACCATATGTCATAGAGATCATGGCCATGGCAAAACCAGCCAATAAGGGTATTAGTCCACTATGAATACGATGCCGTTTGTCCACAATCAATTCTATGCATAATGCCAAGATAGCTGTGCCCATTATCTGAAAGTGTAAAATACGGGTTTTTACTTTATAGATGCAAAAAAATCAAATTTAAAGCATTTTAAGACAATTTTACACCTTTTTTTATTTTAAACGTTAATTTTGCACAAAAGTTGTATCATCAAAACTTTGAAAAAAAGTCCTGTCGTCAAAACACATTACTTCAAACGTTAAAAAACGACAAGACTTTTTTAACTCCAAATAAACTAATTTTTGAATAAAAAATAGAAAAGATAAGCAAAATAATAAAGAATAGGTTACCTGATCCACCAATGATCCATATACTGTCATATGTGAAGATGGAAATGTGGCAAACAACGCTGAAGTTGTGTTTCCTCCTATCAAACTGTCCTCACGTTGTTGTAAGTAGTTCATGTCATCTGGAATTGTAAAATTTAAACTTTTACTTAAATCAACAAAACTTTCGTACCTATATCAACAAAATCTACACTAAAATTTAAATTACTCCTACTTCTAAATTGAATAAAAGAAATTTGAGAGAAAGCCGAGCCAGGCCGGCAAATGTGTGCCAAAGCTTCGTAGCCCAAACTATAGCCTAGATCCAGAGTCCAAACTAAGCCCCGGCCCTTTTCCAGGGTAGATTTGCTTACCAATATGGCCAAGATAAGCAGCTGCAGCTCCAACAAAAGCTCCAATGATTTGAGAAAAGAGATAAATGAAAAACCTGAGGAATGAGAGACCACCATTCACTAATGCTGCTATCGAAATGGCTGGATTGATGTGGGCACCTAGAACAACATTTTTTAAACTCGACATTATACAACAACATAATATCTTTATTAAACATTAAAACAAAGCTTAAAAGCCTTGTCGTTTTACAACACAATTTTTAATGTTAAAAACGACAAGACTCTTTTGGCCCGTTTGCAGTGTAGTAAAACCAAAAAATTCAAAATTTTTTTGTACGTTTAAATAATTCTGCGCTCCTCCCAAAACAAATTTACGTAGCTAGAATGCTCAGAATAATTTGTACAACCTAATAATTTGCATATGGCTTACCTGATACATTAGCGGCTAGATAAACGGCGAAAGCAAAGCCAAAGCCCCACGCCAATTGAACAGAAGTCATTGGAGAGTCTGTCACTTTGTACTGAATGTTAGCTGATAGTCCAATGAACTGAAAATAAATTGAATCAGTATCGTATCGTATTTTACTTCGTAACAAAACGTACTTTTTAGTATCTTACTATACCTTTCTATATATAAGTTTACAAGTTTTTCAAGTATCGTCACGTTCGTAAATAACAAAAAATTTTTTAAGTTGTATGAAGAGTAATGAGCTACTGAACTGTATATTAGCTATAAATAAAAAGTAGCTCATTACTTTTTAGACATCTTAAATTTTTAAATTTTTTTTTAAAAATAAACTTACAATTAAGAAAAAAGTTCCGATGAATTCGGCCAGGGCACTTCTGAGCAATCCATTCTCCGAACCCAACTTATCGACCAAAAGTTCTCGAACGCGGTTCATGTCGTCCACCGGAGTTGAGAGTTGAACTTTGACTTGAGGTTGAGGTTGACGCTGCGCCGACGCGGCTCGGGCGTCTCGCTGGAGATTAAGTTTTGATAAAAATCTTTTTAAAAAATTTTTAAAAATATATAAAGTTTGTACCGCTTTATGTTTTAAAAAAAATATTTCATCATTTCTTATTTTACAATTTGCTATTATTAAAAATATTAAAAAATATTGCTACATTTAAAAAAAAACTATTTTTAAATAAATTCCTGAATATATTACACCAAAACTTTCTGATTTCTGAGTTGTAATGTCTACAAAACACAATTGCAAAAGTATAATTCAATCGTAAATTTACCTCAAAGAAAAACGACTGTCACTTTTTGAAAAATCAAAGCTTTTAGAGAGTCTATAACAATTTAAAAAGTATCAAAAAATACTTTAAAACATCAGTAAAAGGTATAAAATTATAAAATTGTTCAAATAATTTTGTGCCCTCTAACCTCAAAAATTTGCTTTGAAACTGAGAGCGCATAATTATTTGAACAACCTATTATATTTACAAGAAAAAATCCCTACCCTACCCTACCCTACCCTACCTTACCCTACCCTACCCTACCCTACCCTACCCTACCCTACCCTACCCTACCCTACCCTACCCTACCTTACCCTACCCTACCCTACCCTACCCTACCCTACCCTACCCTACCCTACCTTACTCTACGCTACTGTGACCTACATTAACACACCGTGCTCTACTCTATCCAAACCGGCTTATCCTATCTTACTCTATCTTTTTCTCCCCTACTCTATCACGCAGTGGTCTACCCTATCATACTCTACCTTACTCTGCCGTATTTTGATGTAAACGACCTTAACCTGTTTTATCTTACCTTACTCTATTTCTTTTTGGCATATTCTTAAAAAACCATAAACATTATCCAATATCAAAAAGTCTTTTTCCTACCTAAAAAACTTTATTACATCCTACCCTAAACATATCTAAAAGCCCTTTTTCCATATAAAAAAGCTTTAATTTTCGAAAAAACCACCGCATGTTAAATAGTTAAAAGTACAGTAAGTGTATTACTCAGCTCTTTAAGTTTCCAAAAAGTTTGTCGAATACGTTAAAATAGTAACAAAAACACATTACTCGAGCCTCTGAATTAAATGAGTGATGTTCTTGAAAAGGTGTTCAAGGTAAGGGAAGGAAGGGAAATTATGAGATCAACTGCCTATTATATTCGAGTAGTTAAATAGTGAAAGCGAAAGGTAGAAGTGAAAAAATGAAAAAACTGATGGTCTAACTTATGTAGTGTTCTATAATATAAAGTTGTTCAAATAATCCTGTGCCTTTTCTCAAAGCAATTTTTCGGTCAAAAATTAAATAGAAAGTCATCAATTATGACAAGATTCAAACTGTTACTTTTAAATATTTTTATTTATTAGGTTTTTCAATTAATTCTGCGCCCTTTAACCCCGAAAATTTGCTATTAAATAGAGCACAGAATTATTTACATCCCCTAACATAAACAGACATATGTAAATAAATAAATGAAAAAGTTTAAAGTAGTCTTGACTGTATCTCTTGTTACTATAAATTAAGCTCTTTACTATATAAAGTAACTTTTTTATAAATTTTTCATCGTAAAATTTACTATAAAATGTTACCTCTTATTACCACAAAATAAACAGACTTCCTAATCTTTAGTACAAAGTAAACCAAGACATAATCAAATTGCTCTGGCACATGTAAAAATTAATTTCTTTGGCCGACTAACTTCATATATTATACAAACTAATGTCTTAACCGGTAACTACATTTCAAAAACTAATTTATATGTTACTACTATTAATATAATAGTCACTATGGTCTCGAGGTTTCGAAAAAACAAAAAGTTAGGTTTTGTCATAAAAAAGTGGTTTGTAGGCTTAGATTTTGGCCTAAAATACATAATATTATAACGACTACAAGTCCTAAACTAACAAAATTTTAAAAAACCGTTCAGTAACTTTTATATAACCAATTATTTATAAATTTCTTTGCTTCAAAACTTACAATAAACTTCTTCAACTCCTCCATAACCTACAGTAATCCTTAGCTTTAAATATTGTCACTTTTTAACTTTTGTCTCAGCTGATTTCGCCTTTTCACTTTTATGTAATTCAAGCAAAAGTCTAGTCAAACATATAAAAAGCAGTGTAATTTTACCCAAAGTGTTCGTAGACCAGTCGAAAAAACAACTAAAACAAAAGACTAAAGTAACAAAGAACGTTTTAAAAGTTTACAAAGTTGCAAATTTTGCAAAAGTTCGTACTTGAATTAAAGCAAGTGTGCAAGCAAAGGTAACGCTATAGGTTTACTGTAAAAGTATATTTTGGGCTTACAAACTTTGTCGTTTGATCTTTCAGCAAAGATGAATGAAAAGTTATTTTTTGTAGTAAAAATGAAACCCTGTACAACTAATTCTGTATAACGAACAAATTTATAATATCCTAATTTTTAATTTGATTTCTTCATTATTATTATTAAAATTTTAGGTAAGGAGACAAAACTTTTTCTTACTATTTTAAAATAACAAAGAAAACAATTTGAAACCTCAAAAAAAAGTTTCACTGTATTTCTACTAAAAAATCAACTATTTTATACTGTAGACATGACTATTGCACACTACCTAGACACTTTTCAAAACAACTTCCTCTAAAAGGTATGTTCATCAAATTTGGCTTTTATATGAACTTTCGACCAGGTTTTTATGCATTTTTAGTTGATGTCACAACGAACAGTAATAGGTATAGCTCAAGTGGAAAAAACTGTAATAATTTACTGTAAAATTTTAAAGTTGTTACTGTAAAAACTTGTCTTTTTGCTTACCTTTTACTAAAAAAAGCTGCAATTAACCGCTAATCGAATTGGATTAACCGGCTTTTCTTTTTTACAAAATTTACAAGAATTACCTACTGGTTTATTGATGTGACAGTAATGATTAAGCCTATTATTTAGTTAAACCGCAAAAACACAAAAAATTAAAGTTTTTAAAATTTTAAATTTAATAAAAATGTTTATAAGAAAGGAAAGGTAAAAAAAGCTACAGTATATTTTGTATATTCTTACAGTAATGGCGAATTAAAAAAATTGACTTTCAGCCTTTTCAAAACTTTGAAAAACTTTCAAACAGTAAATAAAACTGAAATGCTACAGAACCCGATAGTTAAACCCTGAGGGCTTCTCTTTAGTTTTTGCTCTATCGCAAGCGATTTGAATAATTTTTTAGAAACAAAATTTGCATTAATTTTGATTTGCGACGAATCATACCACAAAATTTAACAGAAATAACTTAAAAAGTCACAAAAAGTTAAAAAACTGAAGGTACCGTTAATGTTATGTAGGATGACAATAGTATAATTTGTAAACTAGGTTTTTAAATGAGTTGTCATATAAACAAATACACAAATCTGAACTTATAACGAATTGTAAAGTCATAAAACTTAACTTTGATGACAGAATTTAACGTTATACACACATTTTTATTACAAAATTATAGTTTTTCTACTCCGGAATGCTAAAATTTCACTAATTCATTACTAAAATCACATTGTTTTTTTCATAATGTCGTGTTTTGTTTTTCGAAGAAATCAGACAAAAAATGAAAAAAAATAAAGAATTTGCCCATATACCATATTGAACACTAGTGTCGAAACACAATAAAAATGTAATATGATTCTGAATCTTGTCTAATATTATTGTTCAAAAACTAATAAATTGCGTTAAATATTGTTTACCAAAGAAGATACATAATATATTATAATATGTACAAAAGATGGACTATAACAAATCATGCTCATATCGTTAATATTTTTTTTCAAAAATTAAATATATCTTCAAAAATAAAAAAAAATTTTTAGAAAAACACTTTTTTTAACCTTTAAAGATAAGCATGTGAGCTTACCTTCCGTTTTTTGAACAACTCTCGTTCCCTGCCACTTCTTGAAGCTTGCATCATGTTTGTCATCTTTGAATAAGATTTGTACATGTAAATGCACTAGTGCAAACTAATCTTTGTCAAAATTCAGTTTATCGATTAGATATTACTTGAAGTGATATTGGCATTTTAGAGCGTACAAACCTGAAAAATAGAAATTAACGTTTTTTAAAGCTGACAAAAAGTCATAAAGACAAAAATAGTTTTGTAATACCACAGTAATGAAACATTTAAAATTTAGCTCTAGTCAAAAGAAAGAACAATTAGAACAACAAATAGTCTTTTAGTAGACCTGCAGGTACCTGTGAAAGAACCGGGCCAATATATTTTTTTTGGCTTTTGATTTGGGCCCTAGTCCTCGAGCCTATGTGTACCGACTCGGCTTGTTTCAAATTTACTTGGACCCGGACCGTAACTAATCTTGACCATGGGCTTTAGTTTAGACTTGCACCACATGTACAGGTTTGCCCCGGTCCTTTTAAAATTTGCTTTTTCTAGGCTTAGTCCGACTTGAATCTGAGTCCACTTGACCCTCTTTCAAGTTTACCAAAAAACCAAAGTATGACGTTCTTGTAGTCTGGACGCTTATCACTGCCCTATCTAACACTGGCTGCCCTTTATAGTCCTATACCACACAAATTTACATGCCCTTTCAAATACAAGAAAAACCAATAAAAATATTGCAAAACTTAATAAATAATACTAATGGAAGAAAACGAACAGTTTCTTCTCCGATGATACAAAAGATTACACTCTCAGCACAAGAGACGAAGCCAATCTCTCCTTTAGATGGTTCATATAGGCTTTCTTTATCGAAATCAAAGTCATGCTTCTTAATGGCTTCCGTGACTTAGAGTATGAACACGTTTTCACGTACTCTGTGATTTAGTTTATGACAACACAAACATTGCACGAGCTTTCAATGTCAACATCTGTATTTCACAGATTTTTGTTGTTTTTTAGTACAATATGTGAATATTTTTAACAGCATTATCTCCAACTATAGCACCGTAATCAGAACGTGTTGTTTTTGCAACAAAAACAATTTGTGCAGAAGCCTGGTAATCGTTCGTCTCAACAACTCGTCAATTGTTTTCGGCCAAGAGAAGAGTATGAATTTTTAATGCAACATGTCATAAGTGCATCTCCATTTAGATGTTTAATCATGTTTCTCGTCTTTCACTTAACTTTTTTTACTGCTGTCTGCTTTAGTTATCTAAGTGCATTAAGCTATGACAGGGCAATAATGGTAGCTTAAAAATAGGTATGGCAGGTTGGGGTAAGGTCAAGTAAAGAATGAAAATTAAATTTTTGTGTACAACAAGATAAAGTCGTTTAGTGCACATAGAGAAAGAGAAAAGGCTTTTCATCGCTTGTAAACCATATTCTACTCTTTATGTAAAATTTACCAACGTTAATTTATCTTCCACTTATTCGGTAGCTACTATAACACTTTGTAGACACCATTAAACGATACGGTATGTTTGTGCAGACCAACTGTATGAAACGTCCAACATAATAGATTAAAACCGGAAGCAGATAGTGCAAAACACTTCCTCAAAGTTTTAAAGGAAGTATTTTTTGGTTTTTGAATAATCATTTCTAGGTACTTTTCCTTTCGTACATCTTTTTTACGACCTTTTCTATGTTTCAAATTTTACGTTGTTATGAAATGTTTTATTGTTAAAAACACCCCCTACTGCTTTTCTTAATTCTGCAGTTTAGGATTACGTTTTGTTTATGATAACATACAAGTATATTGTTCAAGCGGCAGGTAATGTTTTTGTTGCTAAATAAAGCTGAATATCATACATAATTCATAAAAAACTTTTATAACTTTAACAGCAGTACGTGTACGTTCTAGTCTGCAGATGATAGGTTTCGTGCATGATTAGACATGCTTCGAAGTGCAGACTTATAATCGGATTGTTTTAAAGTGCGCAATATTAGGGTAGTTTGCTTTTTTTGAGTATTCTCCGTATTTTTACTAATACACAGTTGAAATCGTAGTATCCTTCAGGTTAATAACAAATAGAGCATCAGCTATTTTGACCAGGTAAACAAAAGTTATACGAAAACATAGGTGACTGTGTAGTATTATCATTTATATTACTTTTATGGATTTTTTTTACATTTATAAATACATTCATAACTATTTTTTTTATTTATTTGCTGTTGCATTGATTTGATAAGAAAGACGAGAAACCGAAGAGAAGCAAAGAAATATTCTCTTCTTGAAAACCCAGTCAAAAGACGTTTTAGTGTTTTTACGAAAACGCTATTTTGTGGCGGTTTTTTGGACTATTTTGGCGGTTTTTTATTTCTCGTTTTTTGAAAACAATGAAATATAGAGTATGCAATAAACTAAATTTATCTAAATGCTACACTTTGACCAGTCTCTAGGGACATATTTTAAATACCGTACGCTCTAACATATAAGTGAAAGCGGAAGCTTGAAAACATAGTGGGTGCTATTAGTTGGATATTTCTATTTTTGCAAACTGTTTATTTTTATGACTGGTGCAAGACTATGTTAAACTTTATTAACATAACTGTCATTAGCAGCAGTGTTCCGGGTAGAGCTATACGAATATATGTACATGTAGTGTTGTGAACATCTAAAGTACTATATAAGCAATACAGAATCTATCTTAGTATTTTTTTGTTATTTAAGTTTTATTTATTCCATTAGAATTGATACAGTACTTTTGGTACGAAGTAAGGCTACGAATAGTTTGAAGTACACACGTACGCTTCAACAACACTTTTTTTGCAAGTACGTATACTAAAGTTAAGTACTAAAGTTATTTTTATATGTATTATACACGCATTTAAACACTGCTCTTATTATCTTGTAATGTTAATTAGGTAGCCACGTTTTGCCATTTGTAAACATAATCTGGGTAAAAGTAGGCGAGGACGTACTTGGAAAGACAAGTGCTACTATTCAAGGTTAGCCTTGTGATGTGACATAGTTTATAGGATTTTTTCGTATTTTATGATAATTTTAGTTTCTAAATTTGTTGTGAAATGAAGATGCTGTAGCTTAAAAATTAAATGACTACCGTATATTACAGCATATTAAATTAACATGTTTGTAAAAATAAACACTGCCATTTAATCATCTTTACTATCAAAAATCCATGTTAGTGCATTAAAATTAAACCTTTTATTACTACAAATAACACTTCTCATGTTGAATACACCATAAAAAAGTGCTTTTTCCATGTTTACTACTATATAACCGGACATACAATGTCACAACGTAGTTTTTTGATATTCCAACTTTTTGGCCTCTGTTTTGAGGACATACGAAAAACGAATTGCAATGAAATATGACGTAAACAGTAGTATTATAGTAAAACATTTAAAGCTTGTGCAAAGATCATGTCCTTACGCGTCTGGTTCGTTTTTTTATTTAGCAGTGGGGGATGGTGCTTTTGATGATACTGTGAGCTAGTTTTGCAAAGATTTTCCTTTTTTATTGCTTGGGTGGGATAACTGTAAGGAAGTTTTCTGATTTCTCAAAGTGTGTTAGTAGTCTTTTAGTATAGTATAATAAAAATTATATTGATGCTGTTCTTTTACAACAAATGTACATTCAAAACGTTATACAGAAGCAATTTGTAAAACCACACTTTTAGATTTTTAATCTTCTCATTAAGATAGTTTTTATTTTGAAACGGAGACAAAGCTAATCTGGAGAACATATTCATTATGTTTATAATGTTTTAATTGGATTTTTATTAATAAACCTTATGTTATCATTGATTATCTTAACATAATGAGCTATATATTGATATTTTAATTATAGTACTGGCTTAGGCGCAAAACCGGGGCTTTAAAACTTTTGATAGGTTAGCATTGCTTTTTAAAATACAGTAAAATTATTTAAATTGTAAAATAATAAATAAGACAAATAGTAAAATTATACAAATTTAAAATCTTTGAGCGATTTGTTTTTTATTAGTTGTAATGTAGATACATTGAGATCTTGAGGCTAAGCCAAATTTTTAAAGGTAAAATACGGCAACATTAATAATTAGCTTCAACAGAAAAATGTTAACTTTAAACTTCACTTTGCAAATCTTACTTTGTCTTGTACCTACCTGTCTCTTACTTTTTGAGTATTAACGAAAAGACAAAACGTCTTATTCACTTCGAAAACTGTCTGGTTCAGTTGGTTTATATTAGTCATTACGGTGAGGAAAACATTTGAATTGGTCTTTTGTTTTTGTGGATTTACCTGGAATATAAATCGTATGTTTTTCGGTTTTGCGACAATCATTCAACGACTATTTGAATACCGTTTTCTTTCAAATTTTTGAATTTTTAATACAAACGGAAGTGTAGGTCGGGTATGATGTGGAGTACATCTTGAGTTTTAGGTTTTTGTCTGCGGTAAAAACTGTAGTTTTAAAAAATTGTGTAGAAATGCTAACTGCACAAGTTCTTGATATTGTAGTATTTTTTAACGGGACACAAAAATATATTATAGTACAGTAGAAGCTGAAAAAGCGTGGGATGCTTCACTTTTTCGTATATGTCATTTTAATACATTTTATTATTTTTGCCTATGAAAGGCTAATGAGTACATATGTCTTCGTTACAAGCTTTGTAAAGTAATGTTACTACAATATATATTACTATTAGTTATAAAAAGTAATGAGCCACATAACGTTATGAGAGTTATGAGACATAGCTCATTACTTTTTATACAACAAAATGTTACAAAAATATTTACTTTGCTTTATGTTCCCCTTGCTTTATGACAAACATATGTATGTTGTCATCGTTACATGTCATTTTGTTCATTATGTGATGTGTAGCGCCGAATATTATGTTTTGTCACATTTTAATTCAATTAAAGGACAGTAACAAAGTTACAATTCAGAGAAGGTACACTGTTTTGCTTTTTGTTCAAGTGTCACCATTTTTGTTTACAGAAAATGGGCGTTATTGTAAAGAAAGGGATGATATATGTAGAATAAGATATGGAGAAAAAAATGTAGACAGTCTAT